AATGGCGAAGAGGTCCGGCTGGAAAAAAAAGTTTATGCAACGCCTGCGGATTGCGATATTCGAGAGAGACAACGAAGACACGGAAACAGGGTTAAAAAAAAAAAAAAAAAAATTGTGCCAAACCAGCATTTTAGCGCTTTTGCAGGCTTGTTATATATCGAGCAAAGATCGAGTCTAATCTTCGGAGTATAAAAACTTATCCAGTCTGATTGAGCTCGTCAAAAGTGGATAGAAAGGTATGCAAGGGTGTTCTGATTTCAAGATTTTATGTTGATGTTCCTCTTTTGGATCGATTCGGAAATATGGCCGGAGAAGATTTGAAATAGTAAGGTGTTGAAAGGAGGAATGATGATAATGTCGAACTTTGGCTGCTTATGTTGTTATATCATTTGAATCTGTTTTGATTCTTAAAGGTGGTGGAGAACTGTTAAAATGAGATGGAGAAATGCTTTGCTGTTCGTCTGAACGCATTGTTCGCTCTTGCTACATCTAGACTAGAATTTCTAATTCTTTATCAAAATGTATCAAGCACGTATCGTTCGAAAGACTTTAAATAATTGTTCAATTATGGAGCCCTATAATGACATCAAGTGAGAGAAGTCTATGCGGAGAAGATGGAAAAAAGTTTGGAATGGACTCAAATATTTATAAGTGATTTCTTGGACGCCGGTCTAACGCCCGTTAGGTGTGCGCCTGCATATATACTTTCTGCGAGTCTTATTTCTGTCTTACAGGTTTGGTGCTTTTATAGATTAGGATCAACTGAGCCTATTATATTAAAAGCCCGCGTTTTTTTTTTTGATCTCGATCACCGATCAAATTTAATAGCTAAACTTCTATTGTAAATGCTACGCGTCTCTGCCTACTTTTGTATATTCATTTCAACTAGGCGAAGCGCGATTCTCTACTGGAATAAGGTTTGAAGCTGGTGTAAGAGTGAATGATGGCATGCATATCTTTTGTTTAATTGAATTTATGCTCTATACAATAGATTTCGTTGACGAAAATGGTAAAAAACGAGCCGAAACGCTTGAATGTGAACGAACTATATCGGAAAAAGAAAAACAATACAATCTTTTAGATCCGCGCTCGTAGGCTAACACATTCTTCAATTCCATATAAAGTCAATGTCCGATCATTCTTTTTTCCAATTACTTTCTCTACCCTCGTCCCTTCTGACACTTTCTATTCCTGTGCAAGATAGGGAAGAAAGTTACCGTTGACGCTGACAATTAAACTTTGTTTCTCGCGTTCCCCTTGGTGAAAACGCGAAAGGTTGTCAAAACGCGATCTTCAAGCTCAGGCAGGTTACTTTGACAACCAAAAATTATTCCTCCTTTTCCTTTCTTTCAAAAAGTTTCCCTTTTTTCTCTCTCTCTCCTTTCGCAGAGATCATACCAGCTTCGAAGGTTATTCAAACAATCAATATATGATTTGGAGATATCGGAAAAAGCCAAGAAGATTTAGACATATGTGGAAAACAGATAAAAGATCTTTTTCATCATCTTTTCCATTTCACCATTCATCAAATTCCATCTATTTTTCTGTGATCCGCCACCCATTATTAAAACAAATATTTGTACGGTTGTAAGAGAAAGGCGGCTCAAAGAATAAAAAGTCATCGTTACTTTTCTCGACAAATTGAAAAGTTCACATAACTAATTCGACCTCAATCTCTTCTCGTTCAAATCTGATTGAATCTTAATACGCAAATGATACATGCAACAAACTTTCAAATGATTTCAAATACATCACCGATGGACTGTGGTCCGTTTATACAACAATCAAAAGAAGAGTTAGAGATTCAGCGGCTATTAAGTTCGACACCTTTTCACAATACCACAACACCGTTTCTTTTTGGCTTAGAGAGAGGAATGTTAGAGCAAGAAAGAGAATTGGGCTCAGGCAAACAGAATGATAGAGAAAGAAATCCTTTTGAAAACGTTGTATGCTGTATGTTTACGGCGTTTTTTTCTCACGATAAGATCACAATCTCACGCATTTCTTTTCCCTTGCAGATTGGGCAATCTTATCCATTCGATCTTCTGATCCTAATATGCAATTGAGCAAGTCAAATCTAGCAATTCTTCATCTTGATCAAACCTTGGAGGAATTATTAGGTTCTAGTGTTCAATTACTCAACGGAATAAGTGTACTAAATTTCATTCATCCTAACGAAGCAAGACGGATAGAGATGGAAATAGCACAATATACATCTGAAAGAAGAGCAAAGAGCAAGGTGCTACGATGTAAGATGAAAAGCATTACATCGATAGTTAGATATGCTCAATCTTTTTTTACTGGTTATTCTTCAGCAAAATTAAAAGACGATGATTATCAATTAACCGACATTCGCTTAGAGCTTACGGGAGATGGAATGATGTTATGCTTCTTTCATGCTGTCGAGGGTATAGATGATGATGAAAATAAACAATCTCAGCGTTCAGAATGTTGTAAGACAATGTTAAGTACGTTTAACGATCAACATTGTCAAAAGCTTTGGCAACACATCTTTTCAGGAAAGATGATCGAGACATCTTCATCAAATACCATCGAAAGACATTGGAACGGTTTTCCGAAAAAGATTTTTCAAGTTTTATCAAATGTTCCACAATCGAATGTTCTTTTTTCCTGGCCACCGCCAAGGTTATTTGATTCAATGCAGCAACAACAGCATCATGACCGAAACAAATCCAATTCAGACATTTATATGGGCGGCAACAATTATTCTGCAAACGAATTTGCTCGTTTAACATACCAGTCAACGTTCCAAGAAAGTTTATTAGCAAGACCTGAAGAATTGACAACATGTAAACGAAGTCAATCTTTATCATTCAACGTACTTATAGATGGTCTAGATATCGATTTGGAAGCAATTGTTATTCCACATGGAGAGATCAAATTTGCTACATTCTCTATTCATAAAGCAGATATTTCCTTGGCACATCTGACTGATCCCAACGGCCGGTCAAAAGATATGCAGAGTTCCTCCCCTATCACATTTGATCGAGGCCTTACATCACCTTTTTCTACTACTTCTCCAGAACAATGCAATCAACTTCCCACGAATGTGCCACCAAAATACGGCTTTCCAATGAATTCAATCTCATACGAGGGTATTGCCACTACCAACAAAGCTGTCTCATTACAAACGCAACCTGAAGTAGAAAGCGGCGATCGGAAACAAGTTGGACATACGTCGATATACGAATATCAGAATGGATTAACTCCTTCTTCCTCTTCGCCAGCTTTTCCTCTCTCGTTTGCCAGACCTAATACAAGCCCGAAAATGAATTCAGCAATGATGATGAAAAAGTGTTTAATTTGCGGAACATCAGATAGTCCAGAATGGAGAAAAGGATATGATGGAAAGAAAAGCCTTTGTAATGCTTGTGGATTACGATTTTCTAGGAATAATAGAAAACGTAGAAAGGAAGAAGAAAATGCGGAAATTGCAAACGAAGTTGCTACAAATGGTGGTAGAATACCAGCTCATATACGTGATAGGATAGAAAATGGACGTAATCGAAAAAAGATTGAGCTATCGAAAAAGACAAAACAACAACAACAACAACAACAACAACAACAACAACAACAACAACAACAACAACAACAACAACAACAACAACAACAACAACAACAACAACAACAA